GTTTTAATCTGACAGGTTAAAACGACTAAACCGACAATTCCGGAAGCAGAAGCGGATGATTAAAACGCACCTGATATTTTGCTTGCTGCTGTCAGTGTCAGTGAATATTATTTTTGAAGTCACAGTTTATTGCTAAAGAATCAGTTAGCTCACTCGGACCAGTTGAAAGTTCCAAAATAACATCCACTCCAGGGATACAAATTCAGGATACGCAGAAGACTGCTGTTTTATTATAGGCGGTTGTCATATATTATATTATCCGAGTTGAACAGTGTATAAACTGAAACATTGAGATCAAAATTGCCGACGCAGAGTGAGCGATCTGATTCTTTAGCTGTAAACTGTGTCACAGGGTTCAAAATGACCGCGCCCTATGTTGGGCGTGTCTATCTTGCCTCGTATAGTAATCAAAGTATGTGGCACAGATCACTATCAAACTTGGCCGAGTTGTGTATAATCTCGTGAACTTTTCGTCAACAAATTTTTAAGATGTCAGTGGTACCACTATAGGAGCTAGAAATAAATTCTCGTTATTTAGGTCCGGTTTTTCAATCTCCGGCTATTTTGGATAGCTAGCAGCTACGGAGATAGCCGTCAGCCACTGACTGTCAAAACGTTTTTCGACCTCCAGTTATACGATAGCCGTCAGCTATTTTGACTGTAACCGTAACCGACACTTGCAAGTGGTAATTTCGTATAGATAGCCGCCAGCTATATATTGTACATGCGTAGGACGTTGTTTGTCAAAGGACCCCGCAATAATTTTATGGAAATTGGGTTTCTGTCAAATTGTCTGAATTTTTGATATTTTTGGTGCGTTTGATTTGATCATCGGAGATCTCCGAGCGCTGCAAACGTGTTTGAATTGACACTCCGAGAGATCCCTAATGTGTTTGTTTTGCTTTGGAGCGAGAACATAGAGCGAGCTCGATGTTCTCAGAGCAGAAGGATCGAGAAGAGGGAGACATGTGTCTTTGTCTCTACCTATCTCTTTTTAATTAACAAATTTAAATCTCAAAATTAAAGACCAGACAAGAAGTCAACAAATTACTTAGCCGCTTTTGTCTTATAGCTAAAATTATTCATCATAAAAAAACACAAAATGTGTGTTTGGAAAATACATTTTTTCTGTCCAGATCTAATCACCAGTAATCACAGTCATGGAGTAGGAGAGCGAAGCGGGTATTTGTGGTAAATGCTGCATTTCAGGGCCATTATCCCTTATTATTAAAATTTTTCCATTTTCTTTACTTTTTGCTCACTATTTTGACACACAATAATCACAAAAAAGCGAGGTTATCTTTTTTACTCTGTTTTATTTGATTTAATTCAATGCTCTATTGTGACGTCATCACTTCTCGGTCTCCTCGATGCTCGCTCGATCGAGTTTCAAATCAAACGCCCCTTTAGTAGATCTTGTCATCCTGAACAAAAGTCTCCATGGGCACAAAGTGCCAAAATGAATATTTTGGCAGCTACGGAGCTGCCAAAGCTCCCCTGACTCGTTGCAAAACTATTCATTTTCAATACTATTTACAGATGTCAAAAGCATATTTTAATTATTCTAATATATAGGGTAATGTTTTTGAGGTCACTGGATTCAACCCTCATGTCAGATTGGACAAATTGACCGTTGACAGCTGTCAATTCACTGTCAACGAGGAAAATATAAGTAAATATCCTCTTTTCACATTGAGAGTTTGGGTTTTTGAGGTCGTTGAATTCAATTCTCATGTCAGATTGGACAAATTGACACTTGAGAGCTGTCAATTCACTGTCAACGAAGAATAAAGAAGTACATATTCTATGTTGACATTGAGAGTTTGGGTTCTTGAGGTCGCTGAATTTAATTCTCATGCCACATTGAAAAAATTGACAGTTGACAGCTGTCAATTCACTGTCAAAGTAGAATAAAGAAGAAAATATTCTCTTTTGCTATTGAGAGTTTGTCAACTACCATTTTTTCCTATTCTAAAAAGAATTGAATTTAGCGAGTTGGCCAACCTAAACTCTCAATGTGAAAAGAGGATATTTACTTTTATATTCCTCGTTGACCGTGAATTGACAGCTGTCAACGGTTAATTTATTCAATCTGACATGAGGGTTGAATCCAGTGACCTCCTAAACATTACCATATATATTAGAATAATTAAAATATGCTTTTGACATCTGTATATAGTATTGAAAGTGAATAGTTTTGCAACGGGTCAGGGGAGCTTTGGCAGCTCCGTAGCTGCCAAAATATTCATTTTGGCACTTTGTGCCCATGGAGACTTTTGTTCAGGATGACAAAATCTACAACATATCAAAAATTCAGACAATTTGACAGAAACCCAATTTCCATAAGATTATTGCGGGTCCTTTTAGAGGTTAATATTTTTATTAATGTTATTATTTCTCAAAAATGGATTTATTTGAATACATTCACAGCAACGATGACAAACAAATTATTTAAATTATTTAATATGAGCCAAGATGACCGTGTAATCCGTGTATTGTATGGGAACGGCCCAATTATTTTGATATTGATGAAAAGAATTTTATTATAAAATTTTTCTGCAACATTCTCATTTCGTTTCCATGATATTGCATTTTCCGTTTTTTTTACATTCTGTAAGATAAGCAAATTTCAATAGTAGGGCTCTATCTGATGCCGAGTAATTGGATATTTTCTCTTTTTTCTAAATCACCAATTGTCCAAAAACAGAAAATAACAAGATCTTAAAGAAAAATGGAAGCAAAATAAAACAATTTTTATGTGAAGGTCTGTGACGATCAACACAAGACACGGTATGTAAAGCGGAAAATTTAAATTATCCAATAAAAACCATTTAACAAATTACCAGAAATGCCAACCTGTCTAAGAATAAATAAAAACTATTAGACTACGTAGCTAGCAGTTAAATTCGTGATGAAAAACACTTCCATCCATGTTCCATCGGTAGCAGGGACTTTGACTGCCAGCTACGATATAGCTGTCGGCTACGTAACAGCAACTTTGACTGGACATTGAAAAACCGACCCTTAATTGCCACACCGTACATTTACTAATGTTGTTTTTTATTTAATTTAAAGACACTACCAGTTTCATTTAAATGTTTAGATACCGCATAAATAGTATTTCTTGTTGAATGATTCCTGTCTGGATATAAATTGGCGTATGCCTGAACTGCTACATCAAAATTGTTGTTATCTTTAAAAAAATATCGTACATGTCTTTTTTTCTTCTACAGAGTAACGGACCATGACGAGAAATTTATTAATTAAATAAATTTTGTAAAGTCAAAATACTTTAAAGAAAACACTGCCAAAAACTTAAATAAACTGACATTTGTAACATTTAATAAGCATTTGTGTTTAAGACCTACTGGATGCAAATATAAAAAAAATGTAATCATACATTCAAAAAATAGAAAACATTTTGAACAATTTTTGTAAAATTGCTTATTGTTCCTTTTTGTTTCTCTTTTATACTGTGTTTTTCCGTTATTTATTTAAATATTTATAGATTATAAAATCATTTTACAGTAATTCTTGAAGTTTTACTTTTTATTCGTCTCTAGATTAATAAAACATACATCTTCTATGAAAAGATGAAACTACCTTGACAAATTCTGGATTCTTCAATAGAAAAAAATACTCCTCATTGACCGCCATCCCTCTTTAACACAACAGGTATAGCTCAAGTACGATTCCTATTAATTTTTGGTAAAGGAAGCAGATGTAACGAAACTGCGATTAATTTAAAAGTAATTTTTGGAGTGTAGTTTTAGTAGTAATCTAAGTAAAGAAGCATAATAAAAAATACAGGTCTGTATTAAAGCAATAAAATTTATAGTGACCTTGCAATAGCAATAATAAAAAGTATCGAAACGTCCTAAACTACTAATGTGTATTACATGGTATAATTTAGGATTAAAAGTACTTTTTTGAAATATAATAAAAAATACAGGTCCGTATACAAAAAAAATATACTTGATGATGGCCCTTCAGAAACGAAACATTGTATAAAAAATCTGTCTAAAGCATATTAAGCGCTACTTAATAATAAATAAAAAATCCAATTAAATGTTTTTTCTAATTTGTAAAATAAAGGCAATACAATAGAAAATCGAAACTAGAGTCATTCAGTTTTCCTTAAATATCTTGGAAATCGGTCCTGATGTTTTCGGTTTTAAAACATCACTAAGTTAGTCTTGCAATAGTATAACTTTTTTCCCATTTAACCGACTTTGTAACTCTTACAGTTTTCGAGGTAGCAATACTGTTCAATATAAAAAGTAGCCACCCTGTATAAGCCACGGTGTACCTGGGTATTAATATCTTTCCTCAATATTTTCAATGTTGAGTGATATATTGCTGTTAACAGCTCCAAAAAAGTGCAACTTTTGAATTTTCCAGCTTTTATTATATTAAATGTCGAATAGACACATCCATATTATTAAGGGATGATACGTACGTAGTTACAGCAAGATGGAGCAACCTGCAACCCTGCTCAAGAAATAATCCATTTTGTATTGGCATTAGGTATTAGTATTAACATATTCGAAGAATGAACTGAAATATATTAAGTAATTTCGAGGATTTGAATAATTAGGTAGATTAGATTTAGATTTAGAAAGCCTGTATCAATCGTGGATAGTTGTTCTAAAATTTTTGAGACACTGTTTGATGGATGCCTTGAACAATACCTTAGCAACTTCACAGAGAGGTTCAGGGTTTAATCATTGCCTTTTCGGCCTAATTCGACATCCTTTTCATTTACTTGATGTCCTTAGTAGCCAGGTATCCAGACTGAAGTCACTTTGTTTTGACTGCTTAGCTTTGTTAGGTCTTCTACACTTTGTGATTTCATTTCTAGTGGAAGAATTGCCTTTACAACTGTTTGACTACCAGAGTAGATGACAATAGTGTTTCCTGATATTTGCTTCCTTGCAATGTGTTATAAGGCTATTAGTTCGACCTAATTAGGTTACCGTTAAATATGTTTTATGTTCAAGCAATCAAATAGTGTGGACGGACCGGTATCCAGCTCAAGTACCAGCTGCCATTGTCCACTTGATCTAAAAGAAGTTTGTGGATCTGACAATGTCACCTACAAGAATGAATGTGAATTCAAATGTGAACAAAAGAAAAATTACAAATTAAAACTAATGGCAAATGTATCCTGTGAAAAACAAAGTAAAAAAAATGCTGTAAGTATATTTTGTATTCAATTTCAAAATAGGATGTACCGGGTGTCTAAATAAGTAAGGCTTCCGGCTGTAGTATGCGCCGTAGACTTTTTGTAAAAATATTTTAAATACAGAATTGATCAATAGAAATCGCTAGAAATTGTTATTAAGTTTTTAAGTTTGCCACTAGATGTCGTAATGCTTATACCCAATGATACACAGATAAACAAGTAGGTAGTCAAAATTGAGTAAAATTTATCACAAATTACGATTTTCATATTTTTGAAATGACGTAATTGTGCAATTTAAAAAAATCTTTATCATCGGCCATGAGCAACGCCTTCTAGTGGCGAAGTGACGAACTTGAAAATAGTATCAAGCGATTTTTAGGGACCACCTTAATTAAGAAAAAAATACTCAGATTTAAACGAAACAGTTCCTTAGATATGCACTTCTTTATTTGGACACCTGATAGCCAACTGTATTTTGGATAACATTATACTACATGTTCTGTTAAATTTAAAATAAAACATATAGGGGGGTGGGTGGCTCAGTGGTAGAGTCTCTGCCTGTGGATCCAAGGTTCCCAGGTTCGAATCCCACCGTTGGCCGGGATTTTTTTTATTTAATTTAATTATTTAAAATTAATTCTGATGCCTTGGTAGGATTCCCCATTCGACCATTTACTGTTGGGTTCTAATTAACAGTGCTGTTTCTAAAGTGGCGCAAGGAAACAGTAACAAGGTTTGTCTGTAGGGGTGTAGGAGTATTAGAGTACTAATACTCCTGCGCTATGGAGTATTAGACTACTAGTACAATCCATAACCTACATAGAACACTAGGCTAATGACCTTAGATGTTGAAGCCATGCAGCAAATAAAAAAAAACATATGCCAATCATGATGGCTGGTAAAATAATATATTTCCTGTAAAATATAGCAAAATTCTTTCAATTTTGAATATTAGTGAAATGTTACTTAATTATTTGAAATATATTTTTCATTTTATAGATAGTATTTATTGCCCAATAATTTTTTCATCAATTTCTACAAAAAATATAAATAATAATAATATATAGACTGTATTTATAGACACTTACTTACCAAGAGTTTCTGAATAATCTTTATAAACATATTGTAGTTTTACGTACCTGTAACAAAAAGAGTATGTCAAGAGAAATAGTATATATCAGTGTATAAATAAACCTTTAATAAAAATAGGTATAGTCTTTCCATTATCAATTGCAGAAGACAGTTATGTGGGGAATCATCAATATTTAATATATACGCACGGTACTCATGCCAAATTAAGAAACGAAAAATAATGTTTACTCCTCTTATACAAAGCGGTAAATATTAAACGAACCATCAGTTGTTTACCAATGAAAACATCGAATCGTAAACTTAAATGCACTGTATTGGCCGAAGGTTTACGGAAGGCAGGTGTTCGAAAATATTCCTGGAAGACAGTCTGCGAGTGGAGTACTGTCGTGCGGTGTGTTTTGCATGTGTGGTTGGTTTAATTTAAATTTCTTTTAATAAATATAAATATGGCGTTCTTCAGACCATGGGCGAATGAAGAAAATGAAATTGCACAGTGTAGTGATATTAAAGGCAGGTATGACTTTAACGATATGGATTTATTTATACAAACACAACAAGTTATTTTAAATATATTCGAATGTTTAAAAAAGGAAAATATTCAGCAGTCTAATAATGTGTTCATAATAACAATTGCTGAATTAACTAAAGTAAATAAATTTTCCATTATTCCGGTAAACATATAAAGAAAAACTGAAATCAGTTGACAGAGCTACCCAGATTTTATACGAAGGACAATTTATAGTTTATATAAGGAGAACAGGGTTCCGACATTGGAAGTAATACAGCAAAAGGTGGCAGATTTTCCAGGATACACTTATACCAGTTTGGAAACATTGCGTCAAGTTTTGTCAGCATGTGGTTTTAAACACAAAAAATTGAATAAACAGATGGCAATCACCGAATGGTCAAGGATAGTTCAATGGCGACAAGATTATTTGCGTCAGATAAAAGGCTACAGAAGTTCTAATAGACACATAATTTATCTAGATGAAACATGGTTTGACAGTCACGATGTAGTAAATTTCGGTTGGGTTGGCAGTAGTAAAAATTGCTGTTTGAATGGGCCATGTTCTAAAGGGAAACGCATTATAATAGTACACGCTGGAAGCAAAGACGGTTTCGTGCCTAATGCTTTATTATTATCTGCTAAACAAATTAAAAACTGTGCAGCTGATTATCATGAAGATATGACAGCAGAATTATTTGAAAAACAGTTTAATGAACAGCTTTTACCTTACATTCCACCACAGTCAGTAATCGTTATGAACAACGCATCCTACCACTCGCGGCAATTCCTTTAAATACCAAATAGTAGCAGTAAAAAAGCACAAATTTTAGCTTTTATGTCTAAAAAAATTATTCCTATTCCTGCCAGCGATAGTAAAAAAGGACCAACAAACAAAGAATTGCTTACTGTTATTAAAGGTATAAAGTTAGAAAAAATGTATTATATTGACAAGCTGTGCAAACTCTTCTCAGACTACCTCCTTACTATTGCATATTTAACCCTATAGAGTTAATATTGGCAAACTTAAAATCAGAATTACGAAAATGTAATCAGTTTCCAGAACTGAGTAAAGAAGTTGTAGAACTCGTAAAGAAAGTTCTAGCAGCAGACCGCCAAGAGCTTTGGAAAAACTGTGTTGAACATGTTATCAAAGAAGAAGATGAGTATGTAGTATTATCCTCTTTACAACCCATCATAATTCAACCAAATGATGACTCTAGTTCAGAGGATTTAGACTGCCATGATTATTTATAAAGATACTTTAGAATTGAATTGTTTTTTTTTCTTTTGTTTTATTTGCAAAGAATTTATTTTCCTTTATGGTTTTTTCTTTGAAATTTCGTTTTCCAGAAAAAGAACGAATGGGGTACAAAAAGGGTTCAGTTCACGTCTGGTACCCTGTTTAAACCAAACGCCCTTACAGGCAGGTACACTTTACTCGCTTTTTTACGTTTTATAATTTAATATTCAGTTGTAGCAAGTTAACGAGCTATAATGATTTTTTTAAGCACAAGTAAGATTACAATTAAGTGCATCTGTCTAAATAAGGGCGTATAATAACGTCCAATTTATAATTATTCGATTTCCTTTTAACGAATACTTTCTTGCATATGATATATATTAAAAGTATTAATAAAATAAATTTATAAAATGTAGGTATCTACGCCTATGGCAGATCAAACAAAATTGTCGGTAAAGGTTCCGAACGAGTTTTTATGATCTGCAATTGATAATGGAAGAACTATAAGTACTTTTGGCTTTACAAAGCTATCATAATAGCCTATCGAGGTATTTTTTTTTACATATTAAAGTAGACACAATAACGCTTTGAACAATATCCCACTTAAATCTCAAAAAAAATTGTTAATCTGTTAAAAAAACAGCAAACTCAAACTTGTTATTTTCAGTAGCGTAATTTTAAACAATCGAGAAAAAAGTTTATTTCTAAAAATTTGTACATATATGCTGCGAACAAATTGAAGCTAATAGTCGAAAAAAGTTCTAGCCTTACCATTGCGGTAAAAATTGTGTAAAATTCTGTTGGAGGAACATTTAAAAAGGGAAGGTATGTAATTGATGAAACTGGAATATTATTTTTATACATAATATTTTGAACATCACTCCATCCCAGAAAAGAATACTTATTCTGGAGTAATTTCAACAAGCGCCAAAATAAATTCATCTTTTTCGAGCAATTTGAATTGTCTCGAGATATTGTTGGTAACTTTAATTCAGAAAGTACAGGACGAGATTTAGGCTTATTATATTTTTCAAGTCGCTGCAGACTTATGTCTTTAATCGGGTCTCTAATTGGTTGTACAGACTGTTTTTCTTGAAACACAACCATAGCCATAGCATGTGTTGCTTTTCCATCAATGGTTTTTTCGTTGAGGTTAAAATTATCAATACTTGCCCGAATGTAATTTTTTTTCATCAGGAAAAACCTTCGCCAAACATTTAGGCACATATATATCTTCTTTATCATCGATTTCTTGTTTTACCTCGGCAAATAGCTTTGCATCAGTGTTGCCAGAATATATTTTTGTAATGTACCAGATTTGTCTAAAAAATGTACCAGATTGCAGAAAAATGTACTAGATTCTATACAATTACCAGATTTTTCTCTCGAACAGCTTTTAAACCTTTTTCTATCTCTTAAGCTATTTTTAAACAATATTTTATCTCTTGATAAATTTCTAACAGCAATTTTTAATTTTTAACAATTTTTTTTTATCCCTCGCGAAATGGTTGTACAATATTTTTTGTACAATTTTTAACAATATTTAACAGCCTTTTTTACATCTCAAGCTATTTTTGAACAATATTTGATCTCTCGTGCAATTTTTGAACAAAATTTTAACAATTTCTAACACCATTTTATCTCTCGAGCAATTTTTATTAACATTTTTTACCTTCCTAGCAATTTTTAAACAATGTTTTGTCTCTAGAGAAATGTTTAAAAGTATTTTTTAATTCTCGAGTAATTTATGAACAAAATTTTAACAATTTATAATACTATTTTATCTCTCGAACAATTTTTAAACCTTTTTTTATCTCTTGAGCTATTTTTAAACAATATTTTATCTTTCAATAAATTTCTAAAATTATTCTGTCTCTTGAGCAACTTTTTTATCTCTTTAGCAAACTGCACAATATGTTAACTCTCGACAAATTTATAACAATATTTTAACTCTCGATAAATTTTTAACAATGTTTTACGTCTCGAGCAATTTATAATAACCTTTTTTTATCTCTCGAGCAATGTTTGTACCATATTTTATCTCTTGAGCAATTTCAACTAGTATTATATCTCTCGAGCAATTTCTAATAGTAATTTATCGTTCGAGGATTTTTTTAACAATGTTTTATCTCTCGAGAAATATCTAACAGTATCTCTCGAGTCAATTTTG